TTCATTCATTTCATCTTTGTGGCAGAGTCTGCTATTCTTCTGGCCATGGCATTTGACCGCTATGTGGCCATCTGTTACCCTCTGAGATACGGCAGCATCCTCACTTCCTCAGTCATTGGCAAGATCGGCACGGCCGCTGTGCTCAGAAGCCTTTTCATCTGTGGACCATTCATCTTCCTGGTACATCGACTTCCATATTGTGGGAGAAATGTAATTCCCCATTCGTACTGTGAGCACATGGGCGTTGCCAGGTTGGCCTGTGACAGTATCACTGTCAACATCATATATGGCCTGACTATGGCCCTGCTGTCTACAGGGCTGGATGTAATACTCATCATTATTTCCTATACCATGATCCTTCACACCGTTTTCCAGATCCCTTCCTGGGCTGCCAGATGCAAGGCCCTCAACACATGTGGCTCCCACATCTGTGTCATTCTTATGTTCTACACACCTGCATTCTTTTCATTTTTTGCCCATCGCTTTGGAGGCAAAGTGGTCCCTCGCCACATCCACATCCTAGTGGCCAACCTGTATGTGGTGGTGCCCCCTCTGCTTAACCCTATCATTTACGGGGTGAAAACCAAGCAAATTCAGGAAAGAGTAGTTTTTCTTTTCTCCTCAGCGAGTACATGGTGTTAAAATGACAACTGATGTTAAAATCACATATTCCTGAATAAAAATTCTTTTTTAATTAATTTATTTTTTATTGTCTATACTTTATTCACTTTGTATCCCAGCTGTAGCCCCCTCCCTCATCCCCTCCCAATTCTAATCTCTTCCCTCCCTCATCTCCTCCCATGCCTTTCCCCAAGTACACTGATAGGGAAGGTCCTCTTTCCCCTTCCCTCTGACCCTAGCATAGCTGGTCTCATCAGGACTGGCTGCATTGTCTTCCTCTGTGGCCTGTAAGGCTGCTCCCTTAAAATTTTCTTTTACTTAATCAATTCATTCATTCATTAAGTTGTCAGGTGGGGAGAGACAGGGTTTGTTTGGCTTTATGTAGACAATGTCATAGTTCATCATGGAAGGAGGTTGGGGCAGGAACTCAGCAGGGCAGGAACCTGGAGGCAGGACCTGATGCAGAGACATGGAGGGTGCTGCTTCTGGCTTGCTCCAAATGGCTTGCTCAGCTGCTGTCGTAGAATCCAGGAACTCCAGCCCAGGGACAGCACTACCCCCAATTGAATGGGCCCTCCCACATCAATCACTAACCACGAAAATGTCCTACAGCCAAAAGAAGCATTTTCTCAACCGAGGTTCCCCCTTTGCAGATAATTTTAGCCAGTTCAGCTGTCCCCTTGTCTACTTGACACACAGACATATGACTCTTAAATTATAATCTTTACTTTTTTGTTCATCCCCAAATCACAATTAACATGATATAGTATAAAACATTTACAAACTTTAAAAGTTCCAAAGTATTTACAAATTCAAACACTTTAAAATTCAGTCTCTTGAAAAAAAAAATCAGATTGTCTTTTAAAACCTCAAATCTTTTATTTTTTATTTTTCCTCATTGTTATAAAGTGTAACTTTATTATTGTTATTATTATTTCTATTATTATTATTATTTACAACTTATTCACTTTGTATCCTAGTTGTAGCCCCCTCCCTCATCTCCTCCTGGTCCCATCTTCCATCCCTTTCCCTCCCCTATCCCTCTACCTTAGTCTGATGATAGGGGACGTTCCCTTATCCCCTCTTGGTCCTTTTATACCCCTCTTCTTCCATAAGACTCTCTGAGCTCTGTCCAAAATTTGTCTATGAGTCTCTGCATCTGCTTCAATCCCCTGCTGTTTAGATTCATTTAGAGGACATTTATGGTAGGTTCCAGTCCTGTTTACTCTCTTCTAATGCTTTCCGTGTCTATCCTGTTTTCCCTTCTTAATGAGAATTTAGCACCTGACTTAGGATCCTCCTTGTCATTTAGCTTCTTTAGGTTTGTAGATTTTAGTATGTTTATCCTATACAATATGGCTAATAACCACTTATAAGAGTATATACTATGCATGTCTCTCTGCTTCTAGGATACCTCACTTAGGATGATCTAGTCTAGTTCCATCCATTTGCCTGCAAATTTCATGATTTTCTTGTTTTTAATTGCTGAGTAGTATTCCATTGTGTAAATGTACCACAATTTCTGTATCCATTCTTTGGTTGAGGGAAATCTAGATTGTTTCCAGATTCTGACTATTAAAAATAAAGCTGCTATGAACATAGCTGAGCAAATGTCGTTGTAGAATGGTGGTCCATCTTTCAGATTTATTCCTAGGACTCTTTTTATGTGCTGGCTCTGTGAGAAATAGAAATAAATGAAATTTATCCAGAACACTTCACTTTCAAAATGATAGTATCCAGAGAAAATTTCACTACATTATCTAATACATCCAGAGGTTATGAGAAAATATTTCAGTGACTTCCTATTAGTGTGGATTTCAAATTATATAAAATCATAGCTATGTGTAGATAACCCAGAAAAACACAAATTCTTAGGTAGAGAAAAAAAAAAGGAAAAAGAAAGCCATTGAATAACTTAAAAGTATTTTCATTAATTCTCTGAGAATTATTATATTGTATTTTGATCATATTCTGAAGTATCTCATTTTCTACTGAAATGCAATGCATTTCTATTCTGTTCAGCAGGTGCATGCTGCAATAGCATGAAACATTTGTTTTATGATTATATTTGTTAGCACTTAATTCTTATATTCGATTAGTAACTCTAAAATCATTTATTTTTGATTCCATGATATTTCATGAGATCTGTTTTTTTTTTCCTTTGAGACAGCGTCTCATGGAGACCTGTCTGCTTTTGCCTCAAGAGTATACATATATATATATATGTATATATAAAAAGAGTATATATACATATATATAATTTTACAATTATGACCATCATAAAGTATAAGATTTTTAAAGTATAAGATTTTAAAATATAAGATTATACAACATATACATTAAATAAATTGTCAATGATGAGTTAAACATATTTATCAAGATAAAGTCAGCTCTTAGAATCACCTGTGTTTTTTAAAAGTTATTTTTCCACATATGTATGGAGGATTTGAGTTCTAAGACATTAGGGAGCACCCTGCCATCAGTAAAGGCTCTGCGAGAGTAAACGATGGGAAATCCCATGCCTAATAGTTTAAAAGAAAATGCAACAGAAGTTTCATTGGAATATTCACATAGAATATTAATCTACACCAAAAAAGCCTTTAATCAGACAAAATATATGTGTGTGAAGTTGTTTCTGTTTACAATAATTCAATTTGTTAAAATCTTTTTTTCTTTTAATACCTAAAAATATCTATGAAAAGCAAAAGCAGACCTGATTTATAAAAAAAGACAAAGCAATAAGATTTAGAGGTTAAAAGTGAGCTTTTTAACATTTGTAACCTGTTCAGAGTTCATTACTGTTTTATATGTGTGTATACATACACTTATTTATCCATATGTATGCCAAACATGTTCATATACTTACACCAGACGTGCAGATACCAAATGCTTTAACAGGCTCAGAATGGACTTTCACACAATGTTGCCTCTAAGAAGACAAATGGCTCTAACTGGAAAGCAACATACTATGGACACACTGCTGAAGAACTGAGCTCTTCTTCCCTCAGTGGCCATCACCTGCCAAGAGCTGCTCAGGTATGGCGGGTCACATGAGCGCTTCTCAAATCCATGTTGAAGTGATGTTTGGTTTGATCTTCTGTACGACTTGTGAGGCAACCACAGCTACTGGGAGTTCATGCATGCAAGGTTCTTTCCATGTCCAGAAGATACTACTTCGAAGCAATTGTATCCAATATCTGGCTTATAAATTCTTCCTGTTCTCACTTATCTTCTTCCTGGAATTAAAGAAAGACTTTTATTTTCTTTAGGACAAGGTCTCGCTATATAGTCCTGGCCGGCCTGAAACTCACTATGGTAATCAGGCTGTCTTAAACTCATAAAGATCCATCCATCTCTGCTTCCTCCATGCTGGGACTAAAGTCATATACTATCACAACTTGCCCAAAGGTGAATTTTTAACATTCCACTATTGAGAATAATAATTGTTTAGGATCTTATCTCATATGACTTTTATTTTGGTGGGAAACTTTCCCTATTTATCCAGTCTGTAAAGAGATAGCACCATTAAAGTGTAATGAATGTCATAAAACAAACTTTCACATACGTTAATGGGAGTGAATGAGTATATCTCTGATTTTGTTGATAAAGTGCATTAAAATAATTCATTAAAATAATTCACTGATTCATCTCTACATCCCATGTATAAATCCTGCTTTAAAGGAGCGCTATTTTCTTAATGTAGCTTTTCATTTTGGTTTTTAGTATCTTGCTCAGGGTGGTTATATCTATATCCAAAAGGATATTGTTCTGTAACTATATTTTCTTCCATTGTCTTTACATCTTTATTCTTGAAAAATGAATTTGTTACACATTTCTTCTACTTTGTTATTTCGTTAATACTTTGAGAAGAATTGGTAATTAAGTGGTTGTTATAACTCAGCAATTAAGTCAAGTCATTTAGTCCCAAATTTATTTTTTTCTTTCTTTCTTTCTCTTCCTGTCTCCTCTTATTTTATGTAATTTTGTTTGTTTATTGATACAGGATCCCATTCTGTGATTCATGTTTTCCAGAAAGTCATGACAATTTTCGGCTTTCGAGTGCTTGTATTACAGGTGTATTCAGTAAAGTATTCCACTTTACTCAGTTCTGAATTATCTATCTATCTATCTATCTATCTATCTATCTATCTATCTATCTATCT